CAATTTGAGTGCTTGGACTTAGTGTGTGCTGGTTGGGTGTTTGTAGAATACACTTTCTACGCTGTATCAAGACTTCTTGTTGATTGAATTTGGTCAAGGGATCACAGTAGCCTACCTGGACGCTGGTTCATTGTTTTGTTCTCGTTATTCGACCAAGGTGAACTCGTAATAGTTAAAGCATAACTGGAGACGAGCGTAACATCAATATATGAAGTAGTGCGTCTTCAGTTGGGGTTGTTGGTGTGTATTTCCAACTACTGACTGCCACGACGTGTGATTGTTGTCTGATGTAGGGGTAGCCTAGGATAAAGTTAGAAGCGGCCAAAACAAAATATAACACAAATCCGTTAAGTCACTGACAACTGAACTGAGCCATACTAGTGTATATGTAGATTACCCTGGTTTGGGTCGATGAGACAATTGTAACCGATGGTTAGAGACTTTGAATGACATCATAAAGATTTTACACACACACATTGCTAAAATCATTCAGAGCTCAACGAATTCAATAATATCACCTAAAAAATACTCACTCAAGCGAAATAACCTTCACATTACACCATCCTCACTCTCTCCACACACCCGCACACATACACACATTCGTAAATTGTCAACTTCGCCGGTCAGTTTGCCGTATTCATTCAACTAGTACAGTGATCGGTGATTATCAGTCGGGTCATCTTTACCATTGGTCTTTATTCGGTCTATTAGGATATTCATCAAGTATTTGTAAGTTTGATCCTATTGGTCAATTCCTACAGGTTAATTCCAATTGGTCGTCCTAACTGTCAATGTCATAGACTTCAATGTTGTTTCCTATTCGACCTAACTGTATAAATATACATCGCTAGTCCGGGATTCTGATTCGCTTCTGGACTTGGACCTCGTACTTTCTGGATACTTGTAGAATACAGGTTCTACTTCATATCAAGTCTTCTTCTTTTATTCAAAGGGGGTTGGGACACTCGGATTTGAGTAGCTTATCGTGTCGCCAGATCATCGATACTCGCTCTCATTTACTGACTAAGGTAAACTCGTCATAGTTCAAGCATATCAATTGACACGTGGTCACATGCGTGCGTAACACAATCTCATTCAACAAATAACACACTAATAATACTAGCCATCTCACATTGTTAAGAACCGAAATATACAAAAAAAAACCGGTAGTTTACAGTTAAGTGGCTAATTAATTCAATATTTTGTCCGTTGGAGGATTGTGATTGATCACACATAAACAAACATAAACAAATGAAAGATTGAACAAAGAATGAACACAATCAAACGTGCGATAATAAACATCATCATCATGAAAATACGTCCACTGTTGACAAACACACACACACAGACACATGATCAATCACAAAAAATTTTTCAAATTATGTGTTATATGACGTTAATATAGAAGTAATTGAATTGTGGTGCGCGCTACTTATAAGTAGTATATGACGCGAGTGTAAACGTTATGTCTGGCAGCAGAAGATGGGGGAAGATCAAGAGAAAGGAAGAGTTAGAAGAACACAATGGAATTTGTATGAGACGCATGAATAGTGAAATGTCAGACAATGGATTGATGATGGATTGATGTTTTGCAAATTAACGATTTACGATATGGTTTTCCTATTTTACTGAGTAACTCTGTAATTTGAGATAAATAAAATTCGGTTGCCCTCACCTGTGTTCTCCTTCATTACAGAATATGTTAAAAAGAAAGTCATTACTAACTAGTTGTGGTATATATAATTCTCTGTCTCTCTTTATACTTACAACCCAGCTATTCCTTGATGCTTAGTATTCTTGGACACCAATCAATTTCACTCAAGACGTTCTCTCCCGAAAATCAGAACACGGTTGAACAGGAAAACATAGATTGTATTCCAATAACAAGGTTAGAATGGAAGACAAGAAGGTTCAAAAGAAAAAAGATGTTAATATATTTATAGTATTTTTTTACATGAGAAGATTCTAGAATGTTCCCAGCAGTATTGACTAGCGCTGATTGGATAACAAAGAGCCAATCAGCGTGCAGCAACGCAATCATGCTTTATTTCCAATCTTATGTCCCACTAACAAGTTGTGTATCCATCATTAATCTTAGTAGAGATTAGCAGTGAAAGGGGATCGATTACATTAAAAACTTGTGTACAATAGGCTTACACTATATGAGTGTGACAAGTGACAAGTTTGAAGAATTCAAAAGCTCAGAAGAGAGAGAGTAGAGTATCACCCGCTCGGTGTATTCCGTGTTCTTGAAAAATAAATTAAGTATTCTATCCATACTTGACTTGTTCCATATACTACTACACCAAGAAGTCATATAAAGCTCATCAGAAGTATGCAACCTTCGAACCATTGATTCGATATCAAATACTTTACTGTCTTAACTTGAAGAGTTCAATCTCTACCTCCGGATGAAGTCATAGGAGTGATGAACTTTATCATAAAATAAACTGAAATAATTGTTTACTGTCATATGATTTGTATAAAAATAAAATCTTCTAGTTCAAATCACGCACACTCCCTTGCCGCCTAAAACTCCATGAAACTGCCCGAATTTCTTACTACTAATAATAAATATGAAGTTAGTAGTATATCACCTCTTCAGATATTGATGTCAAATTATGACAACCAATTAAATTTAAATTATCAGAAGGAGCATTATGTGTAATAAAAACAACATTATGAAATGCGCTTTTATTTAATTGAGTCATTTTCACTTAATATTATAGAATGTCATTGAAACCATCGAATCGATCAATGTTCAATAATCATTGAAAACCTGCAAAGATTAGTATGTGTCTCTGTAGTAGTAGTAGTAGTGCTCATCCACCAACCCATAAGCGTCTATAACATTGATCACTTCATAATTTCAATATATCGCTCAACAATCTTCATAACCCTATATTACTGATAATTATTATATGCTTACTAGTGGCTGAGCTTCAAATGAGAATTTCTCACCGTTCTAGTGAGAAGCCATGACCAATAGACTTGAACTATGGTCCATGTGTAAAGCAGTTAACCACTGAAGGCAACAGAGATGGTAGTCGCGCAACATTATGGGTTGATTGAAGTTAGACACTAACGCTGTTTGGGTACTGGACTTAGTGATCATATAGAGATTATGCATGCGTAAGCAAGACCAAAGCTTTTGGTTCGATTCCCGCTTGCGGTATCGTGAATGCGCACTGCTGAATAGTCCCGTACTAGGATAAGACGTTCTTCCAGTTCACCCAGTTTTCCAATGCCGGTCTTATCAAGTTTACTTCGTGATTCTATAGCAACACACATACATTTGAGAATTGTATAAATTTAATTTGGTTAAGCCCTTTTTGATTAACTTATTTAAGGGATAGAGTCATTTGTATAGCAACAACTTAACGGGTTCGTATGAACAGGTATGACTGAGCATTGCTTACTACCTGAACACATATTCATTCTATTCGCTTCCATGTAAGTCTCAAGCAATTCAGCGACTCATTCATTTTCCTATATATAATATATATGTACATTTTAATCCTATTCACTAGTGCACTAGCTGACGCGCTTGCTCATTTGCTCTTCGGCACTCTCATGTGATTTTTACTTTCACATTGTATACCTGTGTTTTCGGCAATCTGTGTATGGTTGGTGTGATGATAAGCATAATCAACGCTTCGTATTCGTCTTTTGATATATACACCATTGGACGTTATCTAGTCACAGTTATCAGGACAAACAGTATACGGAGTTTAGGATATTATTTCGAATACTGACCATCATAGGAATTGATGAACCCCCGACTTCGAGTATAACGCAGTCACCTCCACTACAATTGAAACCATGAAAGTTCTACAATCTCCACAAACAGATTTATTGTAACACACTACTGATATGTTCATTAAATAAAATTTAAAAAAAACTTTTATCAAAAACTAATATCTTCTGTCTTTACTGTGACGTTGAGCAAAATCACAATTCAAGTATAATTTACTAGGTAGCGAAACATGATCAATCAGTCAGTCAGATGTAACGTAGAACTTCGTACATAAGTACATCAGTTCATGTTGCTATACCATATTAGCACAGAGATATAATTGTCAATTCAAATCTAATTGTAGTAGAGGTAGTAAAGGTGTTAGAAGTAATGAGAGAGGTTAGGATTAGAAGATATTATTCAAGAAGTATAATTCAGTGAGATAAGTTTAGAAAGTCAAAAATAGAGGTGTTGAAGAATCCAGAAGATTAGGATTTGAGAGAACACAAAGAATAAATGCACCGGCGCCATTGCAAACGGTTTTGAGCCATGTCATTCAGGGTGTCTAACCATCGATTATCATCATCTCGCGGACCCCAACCAGGCAGTCTACATCTACCAACACGACTCAGTCCACTTGTCAGTGACTTCATGGATTTCTGCATGTTTTGGTCTGGCCGACTCTAGCTTTCTTCCAACCAATTCCTACACCACAAAACAAAGCTCTTCGAGGCAGTCGGTGGTTGGGCATATGTAACACATGTCCCAACCACCTCAACTGATGAAGTTTCATTACTGCATCTATTGATCTGCCATCCGTACCTAGCACCCGATTCCTAATAACAGCGTTGCTCACTCGGGTGTCCCAAGATATACGAGCAATGATTCGGAGACACCCATGATCGAAAACCAGTAACCTACGAATATCTTCTACTCTCATTGGCCATCTTTCACAGCCATAAAGTAAGACCGAGCGAACTACTGCACAGTACACTCGTCCTTTAGTCATCAAACAGATATCTCGCCTACGCCATAAGTGACGCAGGTTGGCAAAAGCCAATCGAGCCTTCTGTATCCAGCAAAACATAATGATAGGGGTGCAAACTAAAAAGAAGACGGCAAATCTCGTTTCAGTCACTAATCAATCAATCAATCAGGAGAAGTAGAATATTTCAATGTAAAACATTTGGGCTACAAAGTACACACTAACGTACGCACACACACACACACAAACAAATCGTAATGAAATGCGTAAACGAATTACTTACCGACAAATGAATGGCGACGAAACTGAGGAAAGAATTAATTTCTCACAATACACATGTTCTTGTTGTCGAGTTTGTACAATATGTGCTTTTTGTAATCGTTTCAATGCAAATGCTTGAGTTCGGTCGTTTGTTAATGTGACCTATGAAAAAAATATTTATATTAGTAAGTAAATAAATAAATGATGAACTGATTATTTTCAGGCAGAGCTTTGGAGATTTTCGTCTCTGGCGGTAAAGGTCCCCACGAACGGCTTTTAAGAGCAGAGCCAATACTCAAAAAACTTTTCATAAAAAGGCGGTGAGTGACCGGCTTGAAGCAGTTGTCCCTTGGACTCTGCGGTTACGCTCCCAGGTCTTTAAGACCAACACTAATCTACTTTTCTTTTCAGGTCCCTCAAGAAACAACCTTCCACGGTATGGGCAGCCGGGAAGTGACAACCAGTAACAGCACGCAAGACCAAATCGGTCATAATCAAATCCTGCCTACAACCCCTGATAATCCCATCATATCACTAGTGTAATTTATATATCATGGATGCGCACTGCCACTGATGAGTCCCATACTAGGACAAAACAGCCGTCTGTCAGTGCTTCTTCCAGCTTTCTAATGGTGGCAGTCTAACAACTTTGATCAATTCATCATTTCAAACGTGTAACGTAACCATCTTCAAAACCCCATAATATCATATTTCTAAGCTAAAATAACAACTGATGACATAACTTGTCAACAGATATATATGTGCACATGCGCGCACACACACACAGAAAAGGATTTTCACTTTGTTTTTTTACCCAAATAATTAAAAATCAGGAAAAAAACACAATCAATCATAAAATAAATCATAAACAAGTAAATAGACACATACATACACACACACACACACTGAGGTACAGAATTTAAATTAACAGCGAAAAAAATGTTTATATCAGTCAGTAATTCTCCTATTCATTTATGATTGTAAATGAGTTGAACAATGGAAACAAAGATTAGGAGAATGAATATGAAAGGATTATGTGTAACGGAAACTGGTGTCAATTACATACGCACATACGCACAAACACACAAATTACCTGCTATTCAGTGTGTGTTTGATGCAGTTGATCGACAATGTTTCATAATAACTAGGATTAAAATTCCCTCTATTTTAAATAATTTCTGGCTATTGTGTTTACAGCCAGCTACCTACCTACCTACCTACCTACCTACCTACTCTCTCTCTTTCTCGCTTTCAATGTCCAGAATGAAAACAACAAGGCTTGAAATGAAAGTGATTCTATGCAAGGCAATAAATATCATTCATGTTATGTATCGGTCAATATCAATCACTCATCTTGATATATAATAAATGGACGCGGGGAAAATAAACAAGGATAAAAATTTTCAGTTAGAGTTATGGAGATTTGTGTGTTTTCTACACATTTTTGAAATCATCAATCAATCATTGTTAGACCACCAACATTAGAAGAAACCTGGAAGAAGCACTGAAAGACGGCCGTTTCGTCCTGGTACGGGACTACTCATCAGCAGTGGCAGTGCGCATCAACGACTCCTGCATCTCGCAGGATTCGAAGCCGGGACCCTCGGCCTTATGCGCGAAAGCTTAACCAGTGGCAGTGCGCATCGACGATTCATGCACCTGGCAGGATTTGAACCTGGGACCTTCGGTATTGTACGCGAACACCTAACTATCGGACCACTGCTTTGGCATTCAACGGTGCTAGTGTCTAACTCTGATTGATCTACGGATTTTTGCGCGACCTCACCCATTTGTCTTTGGTAGTTACTGAGTACACACGACAGGGTTGAACTCCATTAGTCACGACTTCTGAACCAGAACTCCGAGAATTTCCTCACGAAGAAGCTAGTCACTAGTGAACACTGTTACGATATTTTCGGGCAGAGTTCTTACACATTTGAAATCATCAATCAATCATTGTTAGACTAACACCATTAGAAGCAACCAGGAAGAAGCACTGAAAGACGGCCGTTTCGTCCTGGTATAGCACTACTCATCAGTGGCAGTGCGCATCCGCCACTCCTGCATCTCGCAGGATTCGAAACTGGGACCTTCAGTATTGTGCGTGAACGTGACCAATGGAGTTCAACCCTATCGGGTGTAGGCAGTAACTACCAAACACAAATGGGTGATGTCGCGCAAAATACCTAGATCAATCACAGAGATTAACACTGTTAGATGTCGGCCCAGTAGTCCGATGGTTATGCGTTTGCGCACAATACCGAAGGTCCCGGGTTCGAAGCTTGCGAGGTGCAGGAGTCGTGGATGCGCACTGCCACTGATGAGTAGTCCCATACCGGGACGAAACGGCCATCCAGTGCTTCTTCCAGGTTTCTTCTAATGGTGGTCTAACAATGATTGATTGATTGATGATTTCAAATGTGTAAGAACTGATTATTACAACAAGTGGGTGAACTGTTTCTGTGTATTTTACATGACAGGTATAAGACAGGTTTTCGGATAATCATGCCTTCGTTCAATATTCAATTTTATTACTCTTTTTCTTTTTTTTAAAAAAAGTGCGATATTTAGCATTTTTTGCATGCACTTTTCCTTTTCTTCTGTTTATTTAGAGTTAGTGAAAAAGGTGTTTAATACAGTATGATTTTTATTAGTGGAGATTGAGATCTAAGTTCAATTCAAACGAACCAGCGAATATTCTGTTAAAATAAATCTTCCGTCTGACTGCTGATATTATTCTAAGTCAGTCAGTCAATCAGTCAGTCAGCTACAACATGGAACTTTGTATGTACATTACATCAGTTCAAGTTGCTATACCACATGAGCACAGACAGATCGAATTGTCAATTCAAATCCTATAGCATTAAAGGTAGTAGAAGTATCAGAGGTTATGGAGAAGATTAGGGTATAAAGATATTGTTCAAGAAGTATAATCCAGTGAAAAGGATTTGAGACAAGAAATCTTTCGTCTGATTGTGTATATTACTCTAAGTCAGCCAGTCAGTCAGTTACAAGGTCGTCAGTTGACATACCACATTAGTATAGAGAAATGGAATTGTCAGTCCAAATCCCATAGTAGTAGAGGTTGCAGCAGTTGCAAAAAGTAATCGAAAAAGATTAGGGATCAAAGACATGATTCAAAAAGTATAAATCAGAGAAATAAATTTCAGAAGAGAAAAATAAAGGTGATGAGAAATTCTGAAGATTAGAATTTGAGAGAAGACAAAGAATGGATACGCCTGCGTCATCGAAAACAATTTTGAGCCATATCATTCAAGGTATCTTTAACCGTCGGTTATTGCATTACTCTAAGGTAAACTCTATTTGTGAGAGGGCGGCAATGAAAAGTCCGAAACAGTTTGAGAGTTGAATTAATTTCTTTCATACAATTGTACATATGCAGACAGGAGAATGAGAAGTGTTAAAGAAAAGCAAAGTGGAGAATAACAGTGGGCCAACTGTATTTTTAATTTGTGA